AATAATTCAAAAATAGTGTGTAACTAAAGATAACCAAAAAAAAAAATGTTTAAATATAATTATTCTGTAAGTAATTGAATGGGTTATGATAAAAAAATCACCCTGTATTTATATTTTTGTTTTTTCCATTTTTACGGTTTCTTGATATTTATGTTTTTGCATTACAATGGCTTCTTAATGTTTACGTTTTTTTGCATTTCTATGGCTTCTTAATGTTTATGTTTTTGCATTTCTATGGCTTCTTAATTTTTATGTTTTTTTGCATTTCTATGGCTTCTTAATGTTTATGTTTTTGCATTTCTATGGCTTCTTAATGTTTATGTTTTTGCATTTCTATGGCTTCTTAATTTTTATGTTTATTGCATTACTATGGCTTATTAATGTTTATGTTTTTTTGCATTTCTATGGCTTCTTAGTGTTAATGTTTTTTGGATTTCTATACTTTTTTAATGTTTATGTTTATTGTATTTCTATGGCTTTATAATGACTTAGTTTCTGTTTTTTATAGCTTCATATATATATTTCAATGTCCTTATAATGTTTTTGTTTTTTTTTACATGTCATGACTACTTAGTACTTTAAAATATTAAAAGGATTAAGAGTAGGAAGAATAACAATTGTATTACAAGTCTATTAAACTATTTTTTACGATTTTAAATTATCATTAAAGAATGACGTATTAAGTTTATGCTAAATATTTAATTTTTTTTATCGTCATAGTATTTAGTTTTGATTGTACTAATATCCGTAATATAAAATTTATTTTATTTTGTTATGTTTATTATTTGATGAAGAGTCATATAAATATATTTTTATGAGGTACAAACTATTTTTGTGGGGATAACTTTTAATCCTAAGACTACGAATGATGATAAAAACAATATGTGAATATTACTTGCTATGAACAGCGATGCTTAAAATTATTATTTTTTTTTATTTACAAATAGACTTTGAACTATATTTAAAATTTTATTCTAACAATATAAAAGTACATTGTATAGTATTTAGGTAAAATCTAATTAACCAAATTACTTACTCTATTGTATAATATTCTATATTATTCGATTTCTTATACAATTTTGAGTATATTTAAAACCCGTTTAATTGAAAAACATATTTAAAATATTTCAGTTGACTCATATTTAAACTTCAAATAGTTTTAGAAACATTTTATGCAGTGGCGTATTTAGGGATTCAGCACCTTTCAGTTTGTGGTTGATGCTGCCTACATTTTTTTGTGAACAGAAAACAAATTATTATTTTACCTGTAAAATATTTTGCCTACCTCACTACTAATAACCCTTGGATACATTTCTTACTAGAAAACACAGAATACACATAAACGTAAGAAAATAAATTTTAAATAACATAGTAACATTCGCCTGCGCCTCATACATAAGCGTTACTCGTATTCCCTTCCTATAACAATGGCCTTTAGACACCCACAGCCAGTCCGGAGTGTGTAGCCGAGCAAAATAACTGCTATACGTCCACACGTACGCAGAATCATCTTCGTACTCAGTCTCCTCACTGTCTCCTTGGGGTTTATTTTGTGTTATGACAACATTATATTTAAACATAAATTTTTACCAGAAATGTATCGAGTTTACCAGCTAAGAAGCTACTAAAGGTCTCTGGATAGCCCTTTGTGTATATACGCTACTGGTCTTATGTTAGATTTATTAATACAAGTCATTTTGACAATCACGCAGTCAGTAAAACTCATAATCTCTACCGATACGATTGTAAAAATTAAAAAGGTATTTTAAATGATATAGCCATCTATACGATCATGATTATTATTATCAAATGTTAGCATAATGATTTATACGTGTAGTTTAAGTAGATTTTGCAACCAAAAATTATATTTTTTTAAACGAGTAATATAATCATTATTGTTTGGTCTTAAAACGAGAAGTAATAATTTCTATCTCCAGTAAAGTAAAAAATGTAGAAAACAAGTTTTTTCGAAATAATTAATGATTTTTGAAAAAATATACTAGAAATTTCCGAATAATAAGATATCTATCCAACTTATAAGGCGATGCATCTTAAAAGGCAATGTCACTGTGCAATTACGTTATTCGGATAAGAGATCGTATACTAAACGAAATTAGCAATCCTGAAGTTCATCAACAGACCCTTTCTAACTTTGTAAGGGTATACAAATATTTTATTTAAAATCCATTCACTGTCATATGAATTTCACATGAACATTTTATAGTCACATTGAACCCAAATAATGACCAGTCTTGACCTTTTGGCTGCATAGCTGTTTGACACGCTATAAACAGCACTAATAAGTCAACACATGAGTGGCACTTAAACAAAATATTAAAATATAAGTACTGTTATGCACCTCTTTAACTTCGTTTGTGAATTCCTAGCGTCAATAAATAGGCGTATCAAGTACAGTTTCTATTGTTATTTCTTTTTTATTAAAGCTTTACCATTTTTACTACCCTTATACTTTCGTTTAACCCGTCGTTGGTGACTCTATTTTTTTTACACCGTTGTTGACGTATAAACACTTTTCTCTGTTATTAAACATTTTCTTTAATAGAAATTAAAATATTACTATACTGACAATATTCCACAATAATAAANTTCGTTTAACCCGTCGTTGGTGACTCTATTTTTTTTACACCGTTGTTGACGTATAAACACTTTTCTCTGTTATTAAACATTTTTTTTTAATAGAGATTAAAATATTACTATACTGACAATATTCCACAATAATAAAACTATTGTAAAATTCTATAAAATAAAATGCACATACACGTTATCTATAAATAACGCAACAAATGAAAACAGGTAAAAAAACAATCTGCAACACAGCAATTGACGTGCTATCCTAACGCTAAAAAACTTTGTATTATCAAATTACACGTGTCCTTAATGATACAGAGTGTTTAGTTAATGAGGAAACAGGAAATTGTTATAAACAATGAAGACAACAGAAACTGGATTCTTTATTTACTGAACTCTATATATTTTTTGTCTGTTATTACTTGTTCTCAGGTCTCACAGGAATGATGTTTTTTTAATGAAACGTCAAAATATTACAAATTTTATGTAGTTTAAGAAATTACAGTCAAAAGTTGAAAAATTTTCTCGCGTTCTTCGTAAATGGAGGAAGTTCCCCAAAAAATAACTATTTTTAAAATCGGTAAATTTCAAAAGTTTTAAACATTTCTTTTACTTAAATCTGACATATATTTTTGAAAGATGGTTAAAACAACATAAATATTTTTTATGAATGCTTTTTTTGAAATATACTTGTTTTCTAAAAATCTGACCCTTAACCTACCTATTGATGGGAATTCATAATTGCTACTTTTGCATGATAAGTTAACCTTATCAAATTAACTTTAAAAATAATCCGATCTTCAAATATATGTTAAATTAAAGATTTTATTATATACTACACTTTTCATTCATACTTTTTTTTTAAATCATATCGTTTCCTCTTAAAATTCCCCACAAAAAATTTGTTCCGATATGTTCTGTGTTCTAATGTGTAAATTGTTGAAATTAAAAAAATTATTATTTTATTTTGTAAAAAATCACTGTTTTTCGAGATATTACTAATTTTCCATTTTTTTTCTATTATTTTTATAATAATTAAGGTGAAACAGTACAGTTCTATAAGACAGAAGGATTAAGTACCCCTTTAACCCTCTTTTACAAAAAAAAAAATATATATTATTAAATAGATTTAAGTTTTAGTTATAAATACAAATGAAATTTTTGTAACTCATTGTGTATATTAAAAGAAAGGGGTTTCTTTCTTTCTAAAAAAATTGTTCTATCTACCTTCAATTGCTTATGATAAAATAAGGGAACGAAATACAGAGTGATTATTTTGACAGCTTAAGACTCGATTTCTCTTAAAATAATGATTATGTTAAAAAAATCTTCTTTGATATATTTTAGTTTCATATATTGCTTGATTTATCAGTCATTGTAATAATTGATAAATTTATAATAAAATTATTAAATAATGATTGATATTAAAAAAATACTTAAAGTATATTATTATTTACTCTTTATACCTTATATGAGTGGCAACTTTATTTTTTTATTAGTAACATGCATATTCAATTGGCTTATAAAATAAACAATCTAATTAATAAAGTGACTAGTCGATGACAATTTTTAGTCCATTATTTCAGAAATTATAATCATTTTAAAATATGGAATGAAGGTGAAGTGCGAGTTATGTTATTTTAATCATTACATATTACTCTGCCTCGCTCTTCCTTCGCTCTATATTTCAAAATGTCAATAATCTGTGAAGTATTATTAAAATTGCTATCGAATAATCATTTTTTTAATTAGTTCATTTTTGATTTTATTAGCTGGTTAAATATGTATGTTGTCATTTAAAAAAATAAAGGTGTCGCTCTTATTAGCTATAAGGGATGAATTAAAAAAGTTGAATAACTAATAAATCTAGATGCATAGAGCGTTCAGTAAGTAATGGAAAAAGGTAAATTGTTTTAAACAATGAGAACAATAGAACTCTGTTTCCTTACTTACTGAACACTCTATATGTTAGATTAAAAATACAAAAAACGATTTTCTTAATATTATTATTATTTTAAGAGAAATCTTAATATTAATATTTCTAAGTATTTTACTTGTATTGTGCTCATAAATCACAATATTTGTAATGAGAATATAGCTACGGAAATAAGAGTACATTGGGCTTTTGGAATCGTTCAATAAATCCTTCTAAAAAATAAGCACTATTTACGGATTTGCATCGAAGCGTTTTTTAAGATAGTGATTTTAATCACTGTCAGATATCACCTACACTTGTACCAACTCTGACGCGTCTCCACTGTGTCGTGACTGTACCGTGCTGGGTGGTTTTACTATTAAAAAAAATGTGTCTCTTGTTAACTAATAAAAACTCAAGGTTGTTTGAAACATATTTTTGACGCGATTATTTTTAAACGCATCAACAATAGGAGTATTAGACGATTATAAATATGTGCCGTATAAAAACAATTATATATTTTCACTGTAACGGTAATACAGCTCGTGTAAATTAAATTTATCAAAAACACCATTGTATAATTACTTACATTGTGTATTTTTCACAGATTAATAAATAATTAAGTATACCATTAAAACAATGTAACGTATCACAAAATGGTTAAAAGTAGCTTAGTACTATTTACACAAACATTGATGGCTTATATACAAAATGTAATGGTCACGATGGCAAACTATTCACACGAAAGTAACCGTTTTAAAAATGTATATATATAAGAGGTATATAACAGATATGTAACACTAAAAAATAATAATACTCATAATAATGACAGTTGGAGTCTCGGACGCGATTAATTCCAAAGTGAAAAACAAACAAACTAACAAAAAAACAAACAAAAGTCGTAAAGTGGAAGTAAAAGAGGTTAAGGGTTCAGCGGGTCCTGGAACCACGTGTCCAGGTCGTTAGAAGTTTCGGTGCGTGGACTACGTGACGTTATCCTGAGGTCGTTGGGCAGATCGTAACAGCGGCACACGCAACACGATGGAAACTTGAACCAATCGGAAAATATGCCGCGACAGTCGTTGGACGGGTCGTACGCCAACAATCTGTGTAAACGGTACTGCTGTTCGCAACGACACCCTTGGCGGCAGAACATTTGTTTGTTTTCAAACCTAAACAGAAAACACACAAACATGTTTACCTTTCGACGAGGATTTGGAGAAAACGTTTTTAAATTCGTTTAGCATAACACGCGTTATTTCCTCGACAAAAATAATACCGATAAGCCTTTAAGTAAAAAAAACAAATCGCTCACGTGCAGCGTTCCCAGTGGACGTACTGTTCAAACGGATAGAGATTGAGTAGTGCTAACACTTCACCTCGGGTGTTATTCGCCCAAAACGGAGCAACTACTTCCTCTTTCACGGGACATGCATTGCTACAGTAAAAAAAAAAAAAAAAACAACAAAAATGTACATGGCCGTGATAACATATTTTGGTGTTGTAAACATTTTTTTGTTATTTACTAACATTCCTTTTGATTTTTGTGGATTATCCGTCGTGGTCGACTCCTCGAAGAAACCAGGCTGCTCCACCTGTTCATTGCGTTCGGAGGACGCTGAAGGCTCTGCGGTGGTCACGTCATAATAGCCGTCCGAGTCGGCCGTGACGTCGGTAACGTCTTCGTCGTCTTCGCCTTCTGTTGTGGTGGGTAATGACGGAAGCGGTAACTCGGTCACGTTGAACGATTGGCTGGTGTCGGCACCGGTGGTAAAGTTGGGTGTTGCTTTTGTGCTCGCGGTGGTAGAAGGTGTAGTAGTAGTAGTAGTAGTTGTACTAGTAGTAGTGGTAGAAGTAGACGATGAAGAAGCGGCGGAATGGAACGAAGGAACTGATGGCTTCGGCGACGGGTGCGATTCGTAGCGGTTCAATGACGATTCCTCCCTGCGCCTGTTCCAAACTCCACCTTCGACGTCATTGGTGTCTAATTCGGCACGTAGAACAGAAATGTGACGCTGTTCGCCATACATTCGTTTCATCAAGCCATGATTTTCAAAAACGAACCGTCGGACAGCATGCCTAGAAAATAATGAACGATACGTTTTTAGAGTGTAGACAAAAACGAATTACATTTCAAAATGGTGTTATTTATGTTTTAGAAAACAATCGGTTTGTCGATGGCGATTTTTTAAGCGGTCTGTATTCACATCAAATATTTATTATACCTCAGATGTATTCTGATCACAGTAATTACTCAAAAGCAACAAGTCAAAAGTTTTTATTGTAAAAAGATGTTAATTTAATAAAAACTAAATACTATTATGAAACTTTAAACTTTAAAATGAAATAAACGAGTTCGAAATTTATTTTTATTTTGAAATCTCTTCGTAATTTTTTTATATTTTCATAAAAAAAAAATAATCAATAGAAAAATATTTCTTTCGATCCGTATAAATATTCAATCCAATTGAGATTCAATTAATTGTAATGCAAATCACTTAAGTTATTGAATTTACGGAGATTTGTTTTTATAAGTTTAAAATATCAATTCTTACTAGACCGTTTTTGCTCAACTACAGAGTAATTCCATTAATACAATTTATTAAAATCATTTTGAAAATCATTTTTTTAGATATTTTAATTAGATTCGTCTTCCAAATCAACTATAATTGAACATATTTTTAAGTCTATTCTTTATAATGGTATCATCTCTATATTTTTAAATGCCAACATACATTAGTTAAATAATTAAAATATTAGAAAATCATCACATGCATAATGAAAAATCGATATTATCAGTTTCATCAAAATGTGTAAATGATTAAATAACCACAGTTTTCTATTCTACAGAAATTATTATTAATTTGAAATAGCTCGCCAATGATTTAGATTAAAAATATAAACCAACGGTGATTTTTTTTCACACAAAAGTAGTATTATAATACTCTTAAAAACATTCCTAATAACTCTATTTACGTTAATAGTAAATTCAGAAGTTTGTTAAATTAATCTCACTTAAGATAAATAATGCTAATTGCCTATTATGGAAAGAAAAAAGCTGTTCCTGTTGTGTTTCAAAAGTTAAAATTGAATGTCTTAAAACGTCTAACGCACCACCATGACAGAAAGTTGTTTATGTTCCTGTAAAAGTTGTCGACGATATTGAATTAATGTGAAGTATTTTTTAGTTAGATTATGGCCAAACACTGTCAAAAATGTAATTTTAATCATTTTGACCGTCTTAAATGTTTACTTAAGAAACCTTACTACATTCATTTATATTTTATAGCTGTCAGTGAACTGCGGACCGAAGATGTCCGATTATTATCTTATAAAATTAACTTTGACCCATAAAATACAATGGATATTAATTGAGACTTTCCAATGTAAATTGAGTCGCTGTTTTCTTTAAGACGAAGAAAAACATTTCACTTTTAAAATTCTCATTCTCTATCTTCATTTAAAATTACTTGATTTTAGATGTTTATGTTGACTGCACATGATTGAACAATAAAATTATTTTCTTTAAATGCTTAAATTTCAACTCCGACAGTGATTATTTCATTAGTATTACTTGCAGTTTTAATCATTTCTAATTGCCATAAGACACTCGTAATTTTAACAAAACATAAAAAAATTAAATAAAACGAACATACGCCGTATGAGAATATCGATGTTTTTATCGACACTAGTGCATTAAGTTATGTTAAAAAAATTTACAGTTCTGCGGTAACGCAAATTAAATATGCCACGTTATTACAAATACACTTATTTTTTCTTCAATGTTTTACTCGTAAATAATTCACAATGTAATAATTTACGGTCGATTACCATACAGTAGTATTTAAAAATGAACTGTAAAATGCGATTCTTTCCATTAAAACTAACAAGTTTTAATTTTACTTTGAATGTTTTTTAGTATTAAAAATGAGTCATCTTGGTTACACTGAGATATATTGATTTTCAAGTTTAACCGTTACCCGATATTGTAATATGAACATAACTGTTTTTTTTTAACTATATTAAAAATCATTTTTCTTATGTCGGGGCGTTTTTTACTTTTGTCGTGCTATTCTTAAATAATTATTTTAACTCGGACATTTTAAAACAATCATTGTTATAATTATTTTTCATAAATGTTTTTAAATATAATTAAAAATTTGTTTATCTAATATTACGTTGTTTTAAAAATTTTTAAAAATACATCAGTAAGATGGCAGTATATTCATTTTTATTCGGATGAAAAATTAACAAACGTTTAAATACAAGTAACTGTCAATATATACGTATCAAGTGGACTCGAATAAAAAATAGCCATTTTATTACGTTGACAACAGATGATCAGAGAACACACTCGTTCGTTCTATTCGTCTCGCGCCAATAGCAAAGACCCTCCGCCTAACTAGGCGACAGTCAAATGATCACTAGAGTACTCTCTTGTATCACTTGGGTATTGCGACGTAGCCTTGACCTGGCGGGACGACGGCCGAATATTTTTGGAATTTTTGTGAGAAAAAGAAAAACACTCCAGTTTTCCTTGAGAACACATACTTTCACCGTATCACCGTTTCCCTGGTACTCGATGTCTCATCGCTCACCCCGCGCACCTCAAAATATACGTTTAAATATAGAACTTTCACTCGTCCATGTCACTTTAGACACACTTTCACCTGCATTTGAGCGCGCGTTACATAAATCATGACGCTCACTACGATAACAATGGCGACCACGGGCGACACTTTCCGCGTGTAAAAAAATCGGCCCTAATCAGATCGCACACAATGAGTAGTACAGATAGCGACCGAGTTTTTGCTTTCTAATAACGGCACGGCTATCATAGCGCATTATGGTTGGAAAGTGTTTTTTTGCGCCGATGGAGCAAACGTCATTTCAAAATTGGTTTTCGTCGGTCGTATGACTTACCATGGATACGTCGATCCGGGCACCATGCACCAAGACTGGGTGTTGAGGTCGCAGGGCAAGTCCGGCAATCTGGCTTTGGCGTTTCGGTACGGTTTCGTGCACGTGCTGTAGCCGTCATAGCCGTAACCGTTCAGATCCAGCGGCAACTAAACAAAAACAAACATATTTTCACCACACCCTGTATAATTTGTACAATTCCGATTGATTGGCCGGTGCGCACGCAGCGCGCGACAATTTCGTGTACGTTATTGCGATTATCGTTACTCGTACAACTATGACCCGGTTCGTATATGTACAAGAAAGAGAGCGAGTAAGTCGGGCAGTAGAAGAAAGGAGCCGTGAAAGTTAAACGTTGGCATTGGAAACTGTGCCATGCAGTGCGGCGTCGACGGTCATTTTTATTGTGCACACAATGTCAAGGTATCTCAACATGTACCGCGATGGCTGCTAACGCGAGTTTTACGGTATCCTACATTATATTATGGGATGTGTATATATGTATATAATTTTTTTTTTACAAATCATGCTCTGGTCATCGCGACAGTAATGTGTAAATTAAACGTAGCCGTTGGAAAAAAAAAATTCTCTACAGTCTTTTATCGGTGAGACCGTCGCACACGTTTTTGGCATACCCATCATTTATTTTATTATTAATGTTACGACCGAAAGAATATCGTCATCTTCCTGTATGAGCCACGCAAGTCATAGACCTCAGACGGTCTATTGTTCTACAAGGACGCCACCGTTGAACTGGAGATACACATTTTTAAACGCCATACACTATGTTTATCGCAATATTATTTGCACATTTAACGACCTGCCCATTAGACGTACCTATCGAGTTGTTTTTTTACCGGCAATCTGGTCTGACCAATTGAACGTGAGGTCGGCATTTCGAGTTTTGGATACGACATGTCTGACTCGCACGTACGCCGCCGATGTGTCGTCCCGGTGCGTACAATTGCAAGCGATCAGTCGTTGGTCGGACTTGGCGTTAGTATTGATGTAAATGGACTACAGCGATTAAATGGACAGGTGTCCGCCGATCGGGACGAATCGGCACACCGTCATATCGGACCTTTATTGATTAATTGAGTTCCATTAACCGTTAATACAAATATAGTAATCTTAAATACCATTGATATTCCCAACGTTAAGGCTCGTGGTCCTGACATTACGGTTTTTGGTTTTGTACTAACAACGGTTATTTCAAGTGATTCAATCCAGTTTTGTGTACGGTACCGAGGTGAAGCTCCGACCTTCACCCTGTTACACGCCGTAACTCCACCCGTCTTGTCCTGTGCGACGGACATCCTTCTACTAGGTCGTCCACCCGCACCTTCAACACTCCGAGACGCGTGATAAAAAATAAACCCGTCCGCCACAGTAGAATTGGAGGGTCATGATAAAACGTACCTAAAAATAGACGCGTTACACAAACGTGAACCGAACGTAAAATAGAAAAATTATATTTTTAGAAATACTTGAAGTTTTAGTTACACTCGATGCACTTTGAATTTTAAAGCGACTGCTCTACAATTCATTCACAGAACACGTGCAAAACTTTCGCAGAAAGGTTAACTGCTCGATGTGTTAGATAAACACCGTAATAAATGCGCAACCCGAAATGTCTCTTCCGCATACACGAAATGTACAAATTGAACTTTACAATAAGAACCTAACTGCGCTAGTATTTAACAATGGCCGTTTTGTGTTGTGATCAATTAAATTGTATACTTACTGCCCAGAGGAGTAGTATCTTTAAGTACATGAGTCGTCCACATGCAGTACACTGTAGGGGCGCGCGGAACCACGCACATGGGTTTCGGACTGACGTTGGCCGGGTGTCGCACGCGAGACTGACTGACTGGTCGCGGACAACGAGCCTCGGACCGGTGGCAGAGTCGGAGGCCGCCACTTCGTCCAACCGCAAAACTGGGTCAGCGGCTCGCGTGCGTCGCTTATACCGTTACGTTTAGCCTACTCGAGCCAATACGAGGTGGGGCGGCGAGGGCTCCCTCGTATGCACACTCACACGTCGTTAAAGAGTCTACATTACGCCGTGGCCACTTAGAGACCGGTACGTAAGGAGTGCCCGCGCACGTAACGCTACGCTTCTCGGGCGCACTGCTCACTTTCACCGGGCCCATCTTTGCTTCCTCCTTTTACTTAGCTTTTGTGTAAACATTTTAATTGCTATTATCAACGTGCATATTTTGTAAGAAGAATATGACAAACGAGACAAAAAAAAAGAATACGACGGTTTTTAAAGCTATTCTCTTTTTACGCCTTTTAAACGCTGTTATGTATTATCAAGAAATATACGTAATCTTAATAACACGGGCAAAAATACTTTTGTCTTCGCTAAATGTTTTTCAACCGCCAAATCATTTTATTATTATTGGTAAATGTCCTTGACGACAAACCATATTTTAAAAATAAATTAATAATATGACTAACATTAAGAAAGTATATTTTATAAACTATTTAACATTTGATTAAATTCAAATATTGTAAAGTATGTTAGTACTTTTATTGGGATCATAAATATCACTTATTGTTTATGTTGACTTAATATTATTTAGCGTTAAAGTCTTTCGTAGTAAATAACTGTTAAATATTACAAAGAACTCGTTATAACACAGACGTGTAATAGAATTTGTCTGAGTTTGATTAAGGAATGAAAATCAAATGTCATTTGTGATCTGCCAACATAAATTAATAGTTGCTACACTATATTCGCCCTATAACTCGTGTATGTATTATACACGTTATATTTTTTTTATTATTATTTAAAAAAATATAAATTTAAAAAAGTGACCACTGAACCTACTCTTTTATCACTGTAAGTATAAAATTCAAAATGAGTTTTAAAGTACACCTTTAGCTTCCTTGTTTTTAATCGAACCTAAGTATATTTTCATGACTTGAAGATTCTAAAGACATATTTCAAAGACTTAAATAATCAACCAAATTCCACACAAAAAGGATTGAGTTCGGTAGAAAACCAAAAAATGACACCCGAAATATTAAAATAAAAATAAAAGTCATTAGAACGTGATCCTGATCGTCGTATTATTGATCAACCTGTCACTGTCATTGCGGATACCTCATAATAACATACATTAGAACTTAATCTATAAAAATATAAATAACACAAATATTTTTATCATTATCAGTATTTTTATGTTATTATTATTAAATGTTAAAATTATGTTCGTTACCGACTGAACTCTGTGATCAATTATTCATCGACATATTTAAAACATCGAATTCTTCCGCTGTTTTCCGTAGATACTTATTGATGAATACTACCAAATTAAACTGAAAATGTATGTTAATCTTTCAACTTTATTTATTTTGACTTGGTTGCCAAATTTTACGAAGGAAAAAATGATTATTATTAGCAATATAATTAGTATTCAAAAACTGACACTTTGCATCCGTATGTTATGTATAGTACATTAACCAATAACCACGTTCAATTGTTTAGCACGTTACAAAACGTCCTTGGAATAAACGTTTGCAGCATAAATAAATAAACAATATAATTTCATTTACCTTCAAAACATTTCATACTCAATGGTATTGTATTTTTTCAAATATAATTTATGTATACAGTCATTCATTCGTAGCAAAACCCATTTTTTCTTTGAATAAATAAAATTATATTATTTAGCTACTCTTCAACTAAATCACAAGTTGTAATATAATGAATTTTTACTCGATGAATTTTATAGCAAATATTGAACACTACTGAGATATAAATACAAACGATTTGTATTGATAGCATAGTTTTATTATTTACATAATTTTACAATTTAACTTATCTAAATTATTAATTTGATAAAAGATCAAATTATGCTGCATGTGTATGTTCAATAACCATTATAATACTTGAAAGCCCAATATGCATCAATAGCGTATAATACGCCGAGTACAAATCCCAAAGCCTAAAATTTATTTAAATAATTACACAGCGTGAAAAATCAACACAATTTTACTTACGTATGCTAAAATGATTGATGTGAAAAACGAAGAGAAAGGTAATATCACGAGCACAGGATAGAGGATCGTGTAAATTATTAATGCAATTAATGACGAACAGCTTATAAAACAAAACGATGCAAAAATACCAAAAAAACATTCCTAGAAGCATAATGTTTCTTTAATATATGACTATACATTGAAATGTTTGCCTTTTAACTTACAAACAATGATGATCTGACTAGAACTTCGGTTTTCTTAGACAGTAAATATGATGCACTGATAACCGTTGTTGTCATTAAGCATCCAGATACTGTTGTTAAAAACGATTCATACGTTGTTCCTGTAGTAGGCAAATATTTATTACCACTGGACATTAGCTGACATTGACAAATTAAGCATAAGACCTAAAAAAAAAACACTTTGATAAAGGTACTATTTAACCATCTTTACCTGTTTGAATTTTTAAGTACTTATCTATTAGCTCTTTTTGGAGGGCACTATTGTCCTAGATCCTTATCAAATACAACACTTATTAATACATTGTCAACTCGTCAAAAAAGTTTAAATTTATATTCAAAAATATCTAACTGAAAAAAGACACTAAATCCACTAAAAAATAGCTGATACGTAATTCGAAAACATTGTTAACTATTATCAACGCTAAACATATACTGACACCTCAACCAAACACTCCCTTATATACCCCTCAGTACCACCTAGCAATGTAATATCACTAAGTAATATTATCATATTTAAAATAAAAAGTTTAAACCTACATTTTTGATCCAGTAAATCTTACATATATTTTTTTTTCAAAAAAATTAATAAAAAAAACACTATATTTTTACAATTTAACAAGCTTTTTTATAATAAAACCGGAACTTTTAAAAATATTTTTTAAATTTCGAGAGAATATTTATGAATGTTAACAATAAATAAATACAGAATTAATTTTTAAATGGAAAAATTTTTTTGTTAAATTGATTTGACTACTTGTTTAAAAATGTCAAATTTTCTTAAGTATATCCTCAACGACATATTTAGGAATAGTAAGTATTTAGGACTTAGTAAGCTAGAGCTTTGGTCTGCCTTTCTCAGGGAGTGAAAATTTTATTTTTTAACGCTCTCTATCTAAAATAATAGAACGAAGTAAAGATTATTTTAGCGTTCGGATTCCAAAAAGCTAAATATGCTACTGTTTATTCCTTTAGAAAAAAATCTCAAAACACTTTATAACAAATAAATATTCAACAAAAGCTTAAAAACAATCCGACTATTGAAATAGGTCCTTATAAATCCAAATAAAAATTTCCAACTTAGTGTAGTTATTTGCATTAATCATTGTTATCATTTTTTTTTGTTTTTTTATTTATTTAGTTATATAATATAATTTTTAAATTACATTGAATAATATAAATATTGATAACTTTCATAAAAGAACAATTAGTATTACCTAAATATAATTATAGTGCAGAATGCATAAAATCTTAATTAATACAAAAAAATATATTTTAAAACAAATGGATTTCAATTTTACTAAATAGTCATAAAAAAATGAAAATTTTTAACTTGATTACATAAAAAGACATTCTATTGACCGATAAGTAATGAATATAGTTATGCCGTTGTGAATGAGTATAAATAAATGAAATCAAAACAAATAAAGAATTTTAATCTTCAATAAATTGTAAATGAAAAAAAATTGGGAACATTTAAAGGAACCAAATTTAAAATTTATGAACAATCTCATTATTATTTAATAAAAAAAAATCCAACAAACATCATTGGGTTTTCTCCTAGATGCAATAGAAGTTAAATTGAGAGATTGATCAGTTCCAAATCCTTAACTTAATATGATGTGTAACAAACGTCTCTGTATAGATTCGATTTATTAATATCACCTGTTGGCTACGGAGACCTAATTATAGAGATGTATATTCAAGAACCGATCTAACGAGAGAAAAGTATAACTTTTTAATACACATTACATGATTAAAATCGCTTCAATTTCTTCTTAAAAAACCTAGTATTCAAGAAGCCTTACTACAAATAAAATAATGTACATATTATTGTGCAATTATTTACACTCACAATTTCAATAATTTTCAATATACCAAAGGATGTAGTAAAGTATTGAGTATTGAAACACGAACACAACATACAGGACACCGCTGTTGGTCTGTAACAACTATTCATTCTTACTACTTGCATTGTATAATATGTTAAGTTGGATAAAAATTCAAAGAACTGCAATATTAATTCATATTAAGCTACGATAAACTTCTTTGGTAAAGAACATTTCACAAACTATAGTACACTACCAATAACTATACTATTTTGAACGAACAAATCTTTAAATTAACCCCTACTGAGAGTATTTTTATCCGTTTGTAAAAACACATGTTGGCTTGACAAATGCGTGACGCTCTTTCATCCGGTCCAACGATGGACCTAAAACCTTAAGATTTTTAGAGATCATTGATTTAGACGAATTTCTAGAATTATTTTAAATGTGTTAATGAAAAATGCTGAAACAAAGAAAAAATTGCACTGCTATATGAAAAATACAAATCAAATTAATATAAGCTGTTTATTAACGAATTAAACTATTAGTATGCAATCGAAATATTCATATGTAAATATATAAATGTTATTAGATAAAACTTTATTTTAAAAATATAACTTTAAGGTAGTACACACCTTTAAGCCTCCCTGTTAAAACAATGTGTACTTTAATGTTCTAGAAGTACTGAATCATCATTTAGACTAGTATTTTTTGGTTTGATACTTTTTTCATCATAAAACTCAACTGATTAGCTACTGAACACTATTTGCAAGTAAATGACAGAAAACAGTTTTATAATCATTAATATATGTATATCTTAAAATTTAAGAATTAGTAAAAAATATTTGCGTATTTGAATTATATCGTATAAAATTCATTAGATAATTTAAATAAAAAGTAAATTTTTTAAAGCAGAAAATTATCGTCCTTTCTCATATTTCTAAACTTTACAATCCTTTGTCCTGTATTCTATTCAACCTAATGTAAACATTTTTTATCTAATAATCAATAAAGTCTCCGTTCTAAACATTACACTGTTATTTGCAATTTTCTTTTCTGTTCTTACATTACCAAATTTTTTCGTCAAACTCTCAAATTGATGTAATTTATACGTACTATAAAAAACAATGGTATGGTAGTTGGGATATGATATATGTGACACTCATCCGTTCCATGACAAAAATAATTATACGTCGAAGATACAATATTTTTCGTTTGGAGGGGAAATGAAAAACTTTCTTATAAGAAAATGTTTATGTACTTTGTATTATATATTAAGTTTGGGCATAAGACTTTAACATGTTTATAATAAATAAATAAAAATGCAATATAAAATATTTGCACCAATCTAAATAGACTATTTTTTTTTGTAATAGATTTGCATACTTATACTCAGTAGCACAATTAGAAATTTTTGTATGGAGAATCCAGATAGCTTTTAGAACGAAGAGTAGTGAGAGATGCACCTCTCCACTATTCCTCGTTACTAATTTTTTATGTCCATAGAGGTTCTGGACCCGAGAACCCCCACTTGGTTGCAACATTGATCCTACTCATATTATTCAAAGTGTACGTTCCATTTTCTAAGGTGCAATTTAATTATGAGTCATGTTTAAAGCCCACGGCCTACGCTTGCTTGTATTTCATTAAAATTATTAGATAAATTTCACATTTTAAATTTCAAGAGAAACATTAATTATTATTAAATAGTTATTTAAACGCTAAATACCCCAAAAAAAACTGTTTATCGAAATATACCAGTAATTTTTTTTTACTTCAGTTTATATTCCATTTAATTATAATATTCTATTGCTTTTGAGTAACATCATTTTCAATAATGATTTAATAATAAAATTCATTATTATTTCATAAAATTATATTTATCTAAATAAATCCCTAACTAAACACTTCAAATATATTATTTCAATATTTATAACTATTTTATTTTTTTCTAGTTATTTTAAATCAATCTATACTTCGAAAAGAACTCAAAATTGTACATTAGTAAGTTTCATAAAGCGTTTTAATAATATAAGACGTTTTACATTATTAATTAAGTATACTCAAGCATTTGTTTACCATAAAAAAAATCTGATCAGTGCTTTTTACCAATACAAGTTATACGGAAAAATAAAATGTTCAATACAATATTAAATAATTCAATAATAATATCACATGAGCAAAGCCCACGAAGCCATAATTGAACAGATTACTATAAGTGTTAATTTTTTAAGCAAATATCTTCAATCTAAATAATTTACTAAATTAAAAAAGGATAAGGCAAAAGTAAAGAGACAAATGTATTACGACATCCATAAAAATTCAAAAAGATGAATAAGGACTTTTATTAATAACTTTTATTATGTAATTATCATAACAGTACCATCACTAAATAAACAGTTTCATTATACCTTAATATTCTTTCTACTTAAATAACAGTTTTAACTTTCAAACAAAATAATTATCTATCCATTTTTTATATTTTTAAAAATATATTGCATCAGATACATAAAAAAATAGTAAATACATTAAACAATCAATAAAAAAAAATATGAATAACAATATCATCGTAAAATTCATTCATGTTAAATTTTAACAAAAAGTACAATTTTGTTGTCTAAGAAAAAACATCAAACAATAATAAATTCACAGTCAGATAAAAAGTATTAATAGAAATAAACATCACAAAATAGTCAATTGTAATAAAAATCTAGTATGATCCAACATACAATTCACACAATTAATGATCATATAAAAATCTTTGAAGTAAACCCAATTCAATTAGAAATAATATTATGTATTACATACTATTACTAATAATAAATTGTATATAAAGTAACAAATTTAATTTGTTTTGGACGGAACATTGAATTAACTGAAGTATAAGTATATGCTCTACAATGGTGTTGGTGATGGAACCCACAATGTTTTGCTTTGCTCTAAGTCTACAGCGGCTTTTATTTGAGTACACATGTATGCCACATTAACTCCAGCTGGTATAATTGCTAAAATTAATAAAATAATTATTTAATAAATTTTACGTTTTCAAGTAAAAAAATAGCCATGAACAACAAACCTGATATATAATGACGATATTCAGATTCTAGTTTTAAGGCATGTTCGTACATTTCTTTAGCAGCCTTAGCAGAAATTTTGTCATGAGATGACCGCGAGTCTTTAGCTTCTTTAACCTGTTTAGTGGATTTGAATTTAATCAGGAGAACAATAGGATATATGTGATGACGATGAAGTCTTTCAACACTAGTTAAGCCAATGTCAATAATACAATGGCAATTCTGGAGAAAAAAGTAACAGGTTAAATGTTATTGTTAAGTACATTACAATACTACATTAAAAACATACTTTTCCACATGCTTCTTTTAGTCCAGAAACGGAAACACATTCATAAACAGATCCTTTTTTGCGATAATCTATATAAAGGCTATCAGCAACACCTTTTTCCATAGAAGCTTGAGAACAGTGTTTTACTTCTGGTATGTATTTCATAAATAAATCAGGAAAATCTGCGATTAACTTCTCAGTAACACAATCAGCTAAAGGTCCAACTACCATCACAGGACGAATATTTGGCTCAGCTAAAACAAAGTAAAACTTAATTTATATTTTGATTCTGACAATAAAAAATTATAATACATACAATTTAGTCTAATAACTCTTTGATAAGAAGCAATAACAAGAGAATCATCATGCAGTGTCCCAGAGTCACTGCTATACCATCCCAAATTAATGTTTGAAAAACTAGCTAATTCTTTAGAATTACTACGTTGATGTTTTTTACGCCTAAAAAAACTACGTCTTGTAGCGCGCCGGGCATCACTTTCAAGTTCACCTCCATTTCGCCTTACAACAAGTTCTTCTTCAACCCTAAAAATATTTAACAAAAAAAATTAATATCTATATTATAACTTAGTCTTTACAAATAAATAACTTTTGTATATTACTTGTATTTACTAGGTATGATGCCCACTTGTTGTTTATAACCATTGTGATCGATCAGCCAAGCTCGCCAATTACCAGGAACTCCATTATACATTGTATTGTCAATATAGAGAACATCGTCTTTATGAAATTGTAATTGAGAAGAATTAATAGATGACTCTCCAAGCTCAGCTGTGCGATCAAACAGTGCTTTAATAAAGAAACTGTCTCCAGGCTTATCTTTGATTTCATTATATCCTATGTTTTAATAAAATTAAATAATATGATTATTATTAAGATTAATAATTATAGATTTATCTTAGATATTATTTTGAAAGTATAAAACTACAAACGGTCAATTAAGTACTGAGCAAGAACAGTAACTTTATCAGCTGGTTTAGCTAGTTCATAAGCAGCTTCTTCTGCTGTAGCTTCCCTTAAGTCTGTTCCATTATATTCAAGAATGCGATCACCAGTTCTATTAAATAAATAATATTAAAAATAAAATAAAGTATTATTATAACAATTACATAACTCAAGTTACAATTACTTTAATTTCTTGTAGCCAATATTTGAAATACACTTACCGTAAACCAGCATTATAAGCTAATGAATTAACAGTCACACTGTGTACAAATATTCCAACTGCATTTCCACCAACTAAACTTATTCCCAAATTACTACATTTTCTTGTTTCCATAATTAAATATCGTGGCTCGTATACTCTTATACCCCTATTTTCAGAATTTCTATCACTTTTGCGACGAGTTAAGGTGGCCATTCCATGAGCAATAACAGAAGCCCCTGCAGATTTTCTATTTACTGAAGGAGAATTACATGGTGTTGGAGTTTCTGAACGACTACTTGTAGAACTTTCAGCCCCTTCTAATTCTTGATACTCTATAAATATATTTTTTATCAAAACATTATTAATTTAAACAAGTAATACAAGTCATACTGTCTGGACTATACTGAACCAGCATAGTAATAGAATTGCCACACTGACGAAGAACATTTGCTGCTAATTGATAAGTTGCACTTCTCATATTTATTCCACAAACTTCTAACAATTGATCACCAACTTGAAGCCCAACTTTAGAAGCTACACTGTGTTCACTTACAGTAGAGACAAACACCCCACCACTATCAACACAAGATATTTGAATACCTAATGGTTCTACAGATTTTTCAATACTTATCCATCTTAATTCACCAGGTAAAGGACCACTACCAACACCTCTGAGTAATGGTTTTTTCAAATATCTAAATTAACAAAGCATATGTAATTAAATTTTTTAATTTATATTTCAATTTTTAGCACATACTTGGAAGCCCAACCATAGTCTGGTAATGACTGACGTTTATTAGCTGGCATAGGTATTTGTCCAGAATTTAAAACTTCTACTCTAAAAGTAGGCATTGGACTATCTCTTTCACTACTTACAGATCTATCAATACTCCCAGTAGAAATACCAACAGCTCCACCACTACTTTTACTTGTCACACTTGGATTAGATGGAATTCTGAAAAAATTAAAATAAAAAATTAATATTAACACATGATAAGTTGGAAAAAATTACTCATAAAATAAGAGTGGTATTGAGAATTTTTTTTTTGCTTTTATCCTTTCATCCTTTATGTCTAACTTTATTTATTTATTAACAGTAATATGTACATTTACTAATTTAAATTTTAGAAAATAGTTTATTGATAATAATCTTAGAATAATTATTTCAAAAATTATAAACAATTTAACATATAGGTGGTAGAAGTGTGGCTAAGATATTCCTAGTGATAAAAATAGTCATAGCCTGTATCACACTTACTGTCTATGCTTTAAAATATACAAACGAAACACTATGTATATCATGTCATACTCAAGTATGACATAATATATAATGTATGACTTCTATTATTTATTTATTGAAATATTTTTATTATTAAAAATATACCTTCTATAATTGTTAAAACTGACCTAAATCTTGGATTTTCTCTTTTCCTTGGAAATGTGCCTATTTCATAACCATGATAAGATTCCGGCATGTCATCACCTCGATAACCTATGTTAGTTATAATACGATGAGGAGATCTAGTAGTGTGTCTATTATAATGCATATCAACTGAAGGAGAATGACCGTGATGAAACTAAAAATTTCCAAATATCAACTTAATTACAGTTGATTCCATTTTTATTAATACATTATCAAATGAAATAATTGATACATTATTATTCACAGGATATCTTAACACTATTTTAATAAACGAAATAGTAAAAAAAAAATATTTTGTTTTGATTAATTAATGTATTGATTAATGTAAATGTAATGCAATTAATTGTAGTGAGAACAGCTATGATGTATGGTTCAGAGTGTTGAGCGGTTAACAAGAGAATAGAGCAGATAATGAATGTAGCAAAGATGAAAATGTTTAGATAGATGAGTGGAGTAATTTTGATAAATTTAAATATAATGCATTTTTTTTTTTTTGAATTTTGATAGTTACATATGTAATCTTTTTAAAATATTTTTTATCCTTTACATTATAAGGATGTCAAATTTTATTTTTCAAATAACAACATAGATATTTAATTATTATATTATATTTATATTTTCTTAATATACATCTTAAGAAATACTGCAATAGATAATTGAAGTATAATATTTCAAGCAGCACTTTAATAGAAATATAAGTACATATTAATTTTAGATTTTCAAAAATAGCAGCTATTAATAGCAGTTAATTTACTATAGCATTAATAGTATTAATTAATGATAATTCATTTTTTACTTCTAAAATTGTAAGTTAAATAAAAGAATTTGTATAATTAAATTTCATAAACATACAAAATTAAAACTCTTACTTGAGTTACATGACTATAAGGTGGTTCAAAACAATAAAGCATTGACTCTCCACTATGAGATGGTGAAGGTTGAGAATACCTTGTATATTGTGGAGTAAAAAAATGGTGAGGATTAGTTGATGGTGAACCATAAATATGAGAAAGAGGTCTAACTACTGGGCCATCTCCAGCATTACTTTCAGTATCACTGTTGACATATTTGCCAATTTTTTTTTTTGCATAGTATTCCATTACATCTTTGCCTACTTTTCCAGATCTATTATAAATAAATAATTTAAAATATTATAATTTAAAAGATAATTAAGAAAAAATATATACCTGACTGAAAAATCTATTGAAGACGTATCTGATTTTGAATTATTTTGTGGGGACCAAGAAGGAGGATTATTCAAAAGAACCGATAATGGCAATCTTTCTTTATTTTTACGAGGATGGAGAATAGTGCCAGTTGTGTGCTCAATTACAGGACCACTTCTAGCTTTAGGCCAAGTTCCTCCATTTTTATCTAAATTTTTTGGTTTTCTATGGCGACTAGATAATTTGGTTGCAGTAGGTGCAGGATGAGGACGAAAAGCATCAATGACAGAATCCAGTTCAGCTATAGCATCTTCTTGATCACGTTCTGATATAGAATTGTTAGCAGGTGAAGGATTTCTGTGTGGTTTTTCAGGAACATCTAACATAACTCTTCTTGATTGTACATACTGAGGTTCTTGATATGTCTCTTGATATCTTGAATAGTTTGTTTTATCTGTTTGAGTTGTACTATTAGTGTATTTTTTATAAACATTATCACGATTAGTTCCTGAACCACAATTGCCAGCACAATAAGTTGACTTCATAGTTGTTATAGTAAGAACATCTCCAGGTTCATGTAGTAATAGCATGGCTTCTCTAGAATTTTTGATATTTTCTACAGTTTTGTTATTTATCTAAACAAGCACAATACTCATTAAAATTTCATAATCATATTCTACATAAATTTTTACTTACACTTAATATTCTATCTCCAACATCAAGATTTCCATCTTTGGCTGCTAGTGAACCAGGTGTTATTTTGTTAATATAAATACCAGTTTCTAATGAAATTCCATGATCATAATTGTTCACCTGAAGTTGAGTAGTGAATAAACTCCTAGATGGTGAAGCAGGTTTCCTTCTGCGAACAACTAAAGTTGCACTACTAAGAGATCTTACAGTTTCCAGAACTAATCGTTTACTAATTGATGAGCAGTCTAAACTGTTAACTCTTAATATGCAATCATTAACTCTAAAAATAAAATGTTATATATAATACATTTAAAAAATAATTTTTGTGTGCTTATCGAAAAAAACTGTATTTATTTATATATTGACCCCTTCCATTTAAGACATTTAAAAAAAATAGTAAAAATATAAGATTATTATAAACATATAAAACAAAATATATAAATATAGGCCCTATGTTATATGATGATCAATTTTAGGTAAAACAATCATTTTCTCAGAAACGCTTAAAAAAATTATTTGTTCAAAACACTACAAAATTATATAACCAATATTTTTTTTGATTCTTTTAGGAATCAAAATATCTTAACTTCAATTTTTTTTAATGAGAAGATATATTTTTATTTGATAGTATGATAGAGAAAAAAAGTACAAACAATTTTATTTCTGTAATTTTTTTTATTTGATCAACAGTTTATGTTTTATGATTATTTAAAATAAAAATTTTACGCAAAAATTCATCATTAATTTGATTTTTTTAATATTGTGGACAGATATAATATTTTGCAATAGCCAATAAAATATTTTTTATGATATTTATCAATAAAAGTTTTCCACGCTGATAAATGATAATGTATGATAGTATTATATTTACATACAATATAAAATTATGCATTTATTAATAGACATGAGTTATTAAATATAACATTTCTGTATATTGGATAATATTTTGTTCAATAAAAATTAATTTATGTCAAAAAATGAAAAAGTGAAGACTTTTGATATTCCAACAAAGAAATATCATTAGCGAATTAATCTTAAATTACTTAATTTTAACATGTTATAACAGATAAAATTGTTTATAATTTTTTTCTTTCATATTATCAAGTAAAAAACATGGATTCCGAAAATGAAAATTTAGATTTTTTATCTATAAAACAATGAAAAAAATTATTTGATTACTTAATGTTGTAAAATTATTTGAACCAAATAATTTCTCTCTTTGCAAAAATTAAAATTTTTCAAATATTTTTAATATTTGGGAGTGTCTTTCTTAAAATGAATCACTTTATTTACTCTATAACAAAAATAAATTAATTTATAATATTTAGCAATAAAATTCCTTGACCTTAAATTTTATATTTTAATCAAACATATTCAAGGTAACTTTCTAATAAACACAAAAACTCAATAATTTCTAATTTCTAAGTACTATTTGTATCTGTTAAATCAATATAATTAGGATACAGTCGTCTCCACTGTTTAGGGTCGAGATCACCTATTTTGGAGTATAAAAAGGTTCAGACACTTTCTCTTACAAGAAGGCCGTATAGAGGCCATAAAATCGTTAAAAAATAAATAATATTATTATAATTAAGTATTTTACAATTAAACATGCACTAATTAAATAATATTAAATTTGTTGATTATTATTAAACTTGATTATTTAAATAATAAATGTAATAAATATTAATTTATTTCAACTTAGTATACACTGTAAAAATGAGGTTAATATCAGAGTTGAATATGAATTTTTTTTTATCTAGAGTTAATAAAAAGTAATTCTCACCTTAGTTTTCTAAATGCTATGCTACTTTTACTAATTGAAGATATATAAATTGCATTATCATTAGGATATAAAGGATCATCTCTACCTCCTAATAAATCAATTCCTAAGTCTTCATTTGATCCTAATGATCCCTAAAATAAGTTCAAATCAAATAAGTTTTAAATAGTAAAAGAAAATTAAACAATATTCCAATTGCTACAAAAAAAGTTAACTATTTAAATTGCTCACTAAATCAATGTTTAAAATTTCTGTATCCCAATCTTGAAGATCAGTGTCAATTGCAGAATCTTGACTATACCGTCCTGTTGCTTGCAATTGCAAAATATGTGCTTCCTTTTCTAATTGTGCTTCCATTTTTTCTCTAATAAAACAAAATAATAAGTGAAAAGATAACCAAATTAATCTTAAACTGTTTGCTATACTTGAGATCATTGAGCTCTTTGGCAGTGTCACTCTTTTGTTTCATTATATCATCACAGTCTCTCATAGCCCGGGCTAACTTACTAACAGCATCATCACGTTGTTTTCTTAAACTATCACAAAGAGTTCGTATACTTTCACGTTCTAAAACAATTTTATCACGTTCACTGAAAGCCCAGTCACGTCTTCTCTTTGAAACTTCTGCTTCTTGTAATGATTCTTCAAGTTCTACATGATATTTATCAGCTAACTTTCTTAAACGTTCTATTTCTTGATTTGCTTGATCTAAATTATCCATTTGCTCTTTTTGACAAGAATTGTATAAATCTAAGGCCACTATTTGTTCTCGTGAATCATTTCGATTTTCACGCTCCCTATTAAAGCCATAATCTAAATGACTCTTGAATTCTCTCTGTGATTCATTTTTTGCTGTTATCTCACCAAATCTTTCTTGATAATCATTACACTCCTTAAGTGCTTTATCACGATCATGCAATGCAGATGAAATTTCACGTTTCAATGATTCAACATGTAATTGAAGAGTCTTTTTGTCTTCACGACATGATTTAATTTCATTTTCTAATGCTTTATTTTTGTTATAAGCTTGAGATAAATCTTCTGACAGTTTTTCGAGTTCATTATGTACACTATCACGTTCACTCATAATAAGTCTATATTCTTTAACAGCGGCATCATGAGCTTTATTTAAATCTTTTAATTCTTTGCTACTTTTTACACTATATGCAACAGCTGCTTTCATTTCTTTAACTGCTTCTTCATGCTGTTGCTGTACTTTTTGTATAGCTTCCTGAAGATCATTTCTTTCCCTGAGTGTTAAATCCCATTGGCGTATTGCAGCTGTACACTGTTGTTTTAATCCATCTCTTTCACGAAGTGCTATATCACGCTCTTTAAATAGTTCATTACACTGTTTTTTCAACTGATTTATTTCATCTTTCATCATACTCATTTTATCTACAGCTGCTGAATGTGTAGTACGTAAATCTTCAAAACCTTTACGGAGAGCTTCATAATTATCTAGTCTAGAGTCATATGACATAAAATGATCATTAAGGGAATCTCCACTAGCTGTATCATCTTCAGGAAGATCCTACAAAAACAAAAGATATAACTCAGCTCATAGACAATATCATTTATAGTAGGGTATTGATGGTTTCAGCATCTCGTGGCAGTTTTTATTTAATATTTCCTTAAATTTTTTTGTTGAGCAAAAAAAAAAAATTTTTTTAGGTTATCCTGTTAACCATTTCTAATTACTGTCTACTTCTAATAATCCTTAAATATCTCACTTATTAAAAAACTTAGTATATACATAAACGTAAGAACATAAATTATGAAACACATTATATACATTTTTACCAAAAATTTATCAGGTTTATCAGCTTAGATGCTCCCAAAAGTCTCAAGGATACCCTTTTTGTGACGCCCCAGATAGCCCCTTATGTAAACATACCACTAATCACATACATTCAGTGTTGTATCCAAGTACACTTCAGGGAAAGCTAAAGAGACATTATATAAGTTATCTATCATAAACAGTAGTAATGTAATTACACAACTTTTTTTTTTTATAAAATAATAAACAAAAAAAACTATTTCTTGATTGCATCAATGTTTAAAGCCTTCAAACAGTATGCGGCGATAAAGACTAATTTCTTTTTAGTTTTTTCCTCTAGTGCTATCGTAGTTTAATATTTAAAAAATAATTTAGTGATAAAATAATATATCTACAAATAATATTTGACAAGTTATTTACATTATGCTTATAAAAGTTTTATCATAATTTAATGTATATTTTATATTAATATAAAAACTTAAATGATTAAAATTTTTAAATAACTCTTACGTTTTTGAGTAGCTTAATTAATTAATTCGTATAGGAAAATGTATACATTATATCATGATATAATAATTTAATAGATATTTCTCTTTTTAACAATTAAAATAATATTTCTTCATTTATAATAGAATTAGTATTTAAATACAGACCTGTTGTGATCTTTCAAATTGTTTTTCAACAGCTAATTTAGCTCTAAGAGAAGAAGACTCCTGGGCAGCTTGTTCAATTTGGTTTATCATCACTTGATTTTGACTTCGATAATATTCTAGCTCTTTTCTTGTTTGATCATATCTACGCACTGTTTCTCCATGTTGTCTAAACATAGAAACATGTTTATCACATTAATAATTTGTTAATTATAATTACATAGTATAATAAACAGACATACCGTCTTAATATCACTAATTCATGCATTGCTTTATCACATTGTTGTTTAAGTCCATCATAATCTCTTTCACGATTACTATTAGTATCCCTATTTCTATCATTACTTCGATCTGAATAACTTCTTGTTAACATATCTAAAATAAAAAAATTAAAATCTGTCAAATTTATACTATGAACTATTTTGAATCAATATATTTACCCGTATTTTTGGAGTTATCAATATTACTATTTGAAGACATCTTACAGTTTTAAAAATTTCAATAAAATTATTAATATTATCATAACTCAACAAAATAATAAAAAAAATTCAAGGTTTTTTTTCTAAATGTGCAACCATAAACATAACGGAATTTCATGAATCGATCATTGTACTATAAGGTTGATACTATCAAATAAATTCATTAATATACAATTTATTTTCTAAAATTTCACTACTTTTTATTAAAATAACCAACGCGAGCATTTAATTAAAAAAACACGAATTATACTATTCATTATATAATCTACATACTACAAAATAACATAGTGCTTTTATTTTGTTATTATTTTTCAAAGAAAGATAGAAAGATAAATAATATTAAACAACTAGAATTTAAAGAAAACATATGATAAATTATGGTAACCTCTTACAGATTAGGTTACTTGTCCTTCAAGTTTTAACCGTGGTTAATTTTTGACCATAGACCAAACAATACATTTTTAATATTAGACCATATTTATTTTGGTACTAAATAATTTCTCTAAAACTTACTCTTTTTGCCAAAACTATATTGAAAAAATTATACATCATTTATGGTGTAGCTCGAGAGGTGAAGATTTAATATTTTTTATTATCGGAAGAAAAAAATTTTATCCCGAGATTTAATGGATATTATAGCCAAGTTTACCTAGCCCTCAATTAGCCAAAAATTAAGCGATACAAATAAAAGGGCAGTGTTACTTATGAAAGTACATAAAATGCGAGTATATAAATTATAGAAAAAATAGACTTGATTACAATTGTAATATCACTATTAATATAGTTTTTTCGAATGGGGTATTCTAAAACATGGTTCAATTTCAATTGTTTTGTGATGATACATCGAAGTTTAGTAAAAAAATGGATTTTTATTGTTCTCATTTTTAGTAACAATTTACCTGTTTCCTTACTTTTCAAACACTTATTACAACCTTTAAAGCCCAGAAACTGTCTAAAATACATTATCATACATTTAAATCAGTCGAGAATATAAACAAGGTCTGCTTTGATAAGGAAAACAATAGAAATCTGATATTTTCCAGACTTAAAAATAAATTTTTAATTAGATATCTAGTTGCAATATATCTGTGCTTATAACCTCTTTTATTATGATAATTAAAACAAAAATTATAATTCAAAATTAAAATGTATTATTTGTATTATTGTCGGCATTAAAATTATAGTTAATAAATAGTAACATACAGTTAATTAAAGATGGTAATTCACAACAATATGTATACAATATAAAAAATTGTTTATAAATTATATTATTTTTTAATGGTATTATAGTTACATAGAGTTAAATATTGATTAATATATTATATTTCTACAATTTTTAGTTAGTAATACATCTAATGTACTTATAGAGCATAATAATATGCTCAAATTTTCATTACTACTTTCAAAAATTTTATTTGAAAAATAACATTATAACTTGTAATTACTAATTAGGAAACATTTAAAAAATGATGGAACTAACTAAAATATAAATAAATAAATTATTAAAAATACTGGGTATATATATGCATTTTAGCATCTTAAAAATATGAGGATAAAAGGAATAGTATAAACAGATATAATTTAAATAAACTATTAAAGTAACAATTTTTTTTAAAAGCAATTATAAAAAAAAAAAGGTTGCGAAATACTGGAGGATAACATCTAGTAATTTGCAATAATCAAACAGTTTTTTAAATATTTATATAAATTCATAATTGGTATTATAATTTGTACTTTGACTTTATTAGAACCGATTTAATAAAATCAGAAATAAGACAATTTTTAATAATTAGAAATAAAAAGAATTAACATGTAAATATTTTTTTACTTAAAATATAAAAAAGAATAAAACTTTTTAAATATTTAGTCTTGATATAAATGAATTCATAACAGATTGTTAATAATTACAAATTTATGTGTTTTAGATTTGGAGAATAATCTATTTAATGCATTCATTTTATAAATTTATCTAGTATTATAGTAATACAAAATTTATTTTAAACTATTTTTCAAAACATTTTTCTTCCAATATTTTGTTGTAATTAAAACATATAAAAAAAAGTGTTACTATCTGCAATATTAAAATATTGAACTTTTTTAGTAAACAATTTACAGTATTTAAGTTATCTATGGTTCTAGAAATGTAAGAGAACAAAAGAAAATTTAGAGTAAAAAAGATCAAAGTTTGATTTTGTCAGATGCTTATTACATTTACATTTAATATTTAAAATGTCTGCCCTGCTTCTTTATAGGTAGTGAAGATTTTTTCAATTGAATTGATGTAAGCAGCAGTACGAAGATCTAGACCTAAATTATATTTAACAGCAGTTTTCATAATTGCCCTAGCTGATCGCTCCATAGTGTAATCTAAACCAGAATGTACAATATCTTTTTCAGAAGCACCTGAAATGCGTTTTTGAAAAGCTTCAGATGGTGTAACAGGTATTCTACCACCCACACGGCCAAATCGACGTTCTAACGATTCTTGAACAGATTCTATAACATGAAATACATCAAAATTAATTATTTATAGAATCCAACAGATGCACAAACATAATAGAATAGGAAACTTAAATTTTTCTAGTTAATAAATGATTCTTTTTTGTTAGGATTAATTCTTGAATTAATTATAATCAATGTTTTATAAATTAAATTAAGTACTCTTTAAGAATATTTTAGAACATATTACCCTGCACAATAAATGAGATAGCAACTCAAAAATACAACTTTGAGATTATGAAGTATGTGGATTTAGGTGTTACTCTTTTTACAATAACTTGTAATTAAATATTTGGTTTGAATCAGAATTTAATTAATTAAAAAATTGATAAAATTGTAAGGTTTAATCAGAAAATAAATTTTATTTTTGATCTCCTGAGAAGTAAAAAAAAAAATGAGTTACTGCCTGATTTGTTGTGCATATCAATAAAATGGTTAGACTTAAATTAACAACTTGGTTAGGAGCCAAAATAATAATAATATTTTCTCTGATTTATGGAAATACCTTAAATCATGATTAAGTTTTAAACGAATCAGTTTTTGCATTAAATTAAAGTACTTATTATCTAGTTTTAATTAGTTGAATGTACAAATGTTTAAGCTAATTATTTGAATGTGTAAACGCTTCAATAAATAATTTGACTACAGAAATAAATATTTAATTGGCTTTTAGAACAATAAAATAATTAAGAAAAAAAAATCTCTAACATAAAAATATTTTGTTACATGTTATATTATCAATTAAGTATTAACTGAATAATTAGTATTATTTGGTGCCCTTCTTAGTTCAATGGGAATGCATTCTTTTGTGCTAAGTTATGTAGGTTTTTTCGTCTTCTCTGGCATAAATATAAAGCTTTTCTGAGAGAACATTAAAGATAAATAAAGTAATAATAAGAACATAAAGAGATACAAGTATAATTTTTTAAAAGTGTATTTAAATATTACCTAACAAATGATAGTTAGACTCTCTTTCATATTTAAAAGTCAAACGACCATAGGATACATGGTTCAGATTTTTCAGCCATTCGAAAAATGATACAGTTACACCACCAGCATTGATGTATAAATCTGGTACAATCAAAATATTCCGATCAATTAAAATTTTATCTGCAGCAGGTGTTGTTGGCCCATTAGCTGCTTCACCAATTATCTAAACAAAATGTAAAAAACTGTACTACTTTCAAATAATTAAAAAATTTTTTTTTTATTAACAATAAAAATTTTAATTATTAATAAGATTCATAGTTATTTAAATGAATATTAATTTTAAAAATATTATAATTTGTGTAATAAATAATTTACCTTAGCTTGTATTTTGTGTGCATTAGCAGATGTAATCACTTTTTCAGTAGCAGCAGGTACAAGTATATCACATGGTTCATACATTAGATTCTCACCAGTATATGGCTGAGCACCTGGGAAACCTAAAATTGTACCATTGTCAATTTTCCAGTCTTCTAGTGCCTATAAAAGTATTTTAATTATTTATTGTAATCTGCCAAGCTTAAAAAATATATTTATTACTTTTGGATCAATTCCATCAGGGTTATAAATTGCACCATCGTGTTCAATGACTCCAATACAAGTAGCACCAGCTCTATGTAAGTATCTCATTGAATGCAAACCAACATTACCAAACCCCTAAAAAATAATTATATAATTTTTAACACATAAAACTTAAAAAAAAAACTATTTTACACAACTTACTTGAACAATAAAGGTTTTTCCGCCCCAACCAGGAGTAGTACCAATTAAACTCATATAATTTGCTTCCATGATAAAGTTTTCCAAGCCATGGAAAACACCTCGACCAGTTGCTGAAACTCGACCATGAATACCACCTTGGTTTATTGGCTTACCAGTAACACATGCATGTGCATTAATATCTAAATGCCCTGTTAACATAATAATAAAAAATAAATAAATATAGTTTAAAAACTACTTAATCATTTCATTTGTTTTGTTAATTAAAAATAAAATTTGTTATATTGAAATAACAATATTTTAAATAAAAAGCAGATAACTTCAAATTTCAATTATATTTGAATATATCAGTTATTTTCTATTTAACATAAAGATTTAAAATAGCTTCTATATTACCAATAGTTTTAGCATAGGTATCAGCTATCCAAGACATTTCTCTTTCACCAGTACCCATATCTGGAGCAGGAACATCAACACCTGGCCCTAATATTAGTATTTTTACATTAGAAAAAAAATTAAAAAATAAATAATTGATTCAATCTATTTTTCATTTGTCAACAAAATAATCTGTACTATTATTTATATAGGGTATACTGACCAGGTTCTGATATTATTTATAACTTTTGATGCAGCAAATATTCTGCATATTACTATTTTAAATATTTTGTCCTACTAAATATTACTATTTTTTAAAATAGTTTTCATAATTAAAGACTAAATAAAAAACAAATATTTTTATTGTCTCCAATAAAAAAAAATTAAAATACAATTTTTTTTAAATGGCCATTTTTTAGCTCTATTTTAGCTATTTAATTTTGATGAGTCAATAACAACTTTATGATAAGTACTTATTGATTTACAAACATTTAAATACATAGAGTATATATGTAGTGCAAGCGGAGTGCACATACACCAGTATGAGGAATAATCACAACACACACTACTGAAATGGTATTTATTTTATTTTACAAATAAAAAAAATTGGTTTGTTTCCAATTTGTTAACATTAGAAGTAACTATTAGTTTCTGTATTAAACAACAATTAAAATTTATATAAATATTCATATATACAAAAAATTAGCATATATATATTTTTTTTTTGTGCTATATAGTATGTGTAAGAGTTGTGTATGATTAGTAGTAGTTATGTTTCTGACCTTAATTCAGTCGTATCGGTGATGTGTTCATTGATGTAGGAGTTCAAATATAGTTGATATTCGTGCGTATTTATTCGCTGTTCTCTCAAACATAGTTCATTAATATTTCGATTTAATTCATCATGAAAATCTTATTGTTACTTGTTAGTTTATAATAGAGAGAAAAAGAAAAAAATGTGTTCATTTCAAAAAACAAATATCATAACATATCTTTCTTCTTTTTTTTTTCAAAAACATAACCAACCTTTTATTTTATCTTCTTATCATCTTCTTACGCATGGCAACATTTTTCCAGCGTCGTCACCACATAAAACGAACGCAATAATCCCATATGATGTTGTCGCACATTATACAATAATACATTTACAATAATACTTTAATTTACAATGTTTTATCTAACCTGTACCATTACACTACATACCACTCATTGTAATAAAATGCATGTAACTGCATGTACTCATCTTAAAGTTATTATCAACCCATTAGAAATTTTTATAATAAAATAGATTAAAAATTAGTATTTTGAAATTTCGATAAATAAAAAATTTTATTTTTTTTATTGGAGTCAATATATTTATAAAAAAGAAATATGCTTTTAATACAGTCCAAAATTGTAAAAATTATAAAAAATAAAGTAACACAATATTTGTTGATTAAAAAGTTATAAAAGATGTCAGAAATTAGTAGGACACTAATTCTGTATATTTAAAAATTAAATATAATACATCTTTTATTCAATAAAATATTTATATATTACTTATGAAATACCCATGTTTTTATTTTTGTTTATATATTTTAGATATCTCAATAATTATTATAAACATAATTAATTATTTAAGAAACATAGATAAAATTTATGCATTAATACTAATTTAAATAATGTTATCAACAAAATTTGTTTCCTTTTTAAAATACATAGGGCAATTAATGACCCCTTTGTATTCAATTAAGTTTAATCCATTTATATATTTCATATCACTTCCTACTTAATACTAAATAATTTTCTATTACAGACAGACAATTACTATAGTTAAATCTAATTTTTTTTTTTTTTTAAAACAATACAAAAAATTATAAAATGTACTTAAACAATCATACCAATGAATCCTTTTTTGGCAAGCTCTAATGTGAATCGTCTAGTAATTTGCTCTAGTTCATTTTCAGAATAATTTTTTGGATTTATTTTAATACCAGCTTTTGCTCCACCAAAAGGTACATCAACACAAGCACACTTAAAAGTCATTAAAGCTGCTAAGGCTTTTACTTCATCTCGAGATACATCCAAAGAAAATCTTATACCTATAAATAAATATTAACTATAACAAATATGTTAAGAAGGCTAAGTGACCATAAAAGTTTAAAGAGGGATAGAGCTGAATGCTCCTAATTAATTTTAGGATACTTTTAATTTTTTAAATAATTATAGGAAAATTACTCAATAAAAATTATATTATAGTAATTATAGTAATTCAAAGTAATTTTATTATTTTCAAATCTTTTAACTTTAATTTTATATCATATAATGTTATTATGTAGTGTAATACAATTATTTTTTAATAAAGGCTAATAATAATTGAAAAATTCCATGAAAAATATTTTTATGATATAGAATAAGACCTTGAACTAATTATCAATTCATCCATCACTAATTCAAATGTTGAGAATTCATTAAGCATCATTAGCAATACAAACATATTCATAGTATTCAATTATTGATTTGTGAAGTATCTTTTATTGCAATTCAATATCAAGTGTAACACTTAAAAAAATTCATTGTTCAATTTTAATAAAACTAATTATTTCAACATAACACCAATTAACTTTTTATGAAACAAATAATTTAAAAAAAACAGTATACCTAAAAATATATCTTATCATAATCTTTACAATTTAAGAATTCCCTATCATAATGGTAATTCATAAACACTTATAAATTTAACTAAGATTAATTCAACTGTAAAATTTTTATTATTTAAAAATCAAATTTATAGGTACATTTTTCTAGCTAAATAATTTTGTATGGATTTTTGATCATATAAAGATCTTAGACTTATTAAAATATACAATAATATAAAGTAATATTTTAAACTTGGTTTTGAAATTTTAATTAAATTAACAATTTTTTTTAAAAAATACATCATTTTAGTAGCAACTTATGTTCAAAATAATTATTATAGATGGAAGCTATATCATTAGGTGGGGAATAATAAACTGAATAATAAAAATCTGTATGTATAAGACATATTATTATAATTATATCCTAATGATACAAATACTGTTAATCCAATATAACTACCAATTTTCATTTATTTTTGTTACTAGTAAATATTCAAATAAAAAGCTGTTATATCTTAATCAAAATAGTTAAATTAACCATATTAAATTGTATAAATAAAATAATTCAATTAAAAGTTTATAAAGTAAAATAGTTAAACTACTTTTACTCTAAGAAATCTTATTTAACACATGTAATACTCACCTCCTTTACAAGGTGTTCTATGGGTACTATGTTGTGCTCTATAGCCAGTAATCATCTCATAATCTCCACTATCTCTACGTACTGGAAATGAAGTTTCTAATATATGATCACAAGGCTGCATACCTAGCAAAATTCCTTTAACTTTTTTCCTTTTATCTTCAATTGTCATTTTTGCTTTAATATCTTCAACAAGTTTATCTTCAGCTACTTGGCAGGCACGATGAAAAAAATACTCCACCATGTCAAAAAATCGAGGGTTTTCAGCGGAGGGCACATCCTTTAAATGATCTGGCATTTCATGAAGACCTCGTACACTTAATAAAGATGTTGATTTTAATATACTATCAGATATATTAAGGCCAAAACGACTTAATTTATACATATTGATTAGTAATAAATTAACAAACTAAAAAAATTTGAACAAATTTCTTTATAAATAAATAATGATTTAAAACTTATCAATTAATTATACAATTATATGGATTAAAACTTATTTGTAATAGAACAAGAGGTCCTACACCATTGAAGAATCGGTAGCTAATCACCTAAGTTTAAACTAGTGATTTAAATGCGCTGCCAGAATCTATGAACTGATAGTTAATCTAAAAGATAATTTGCCATAACGTAAAAGAGTTGGAAAAAATTGCAATAAAAAAGCAGTCAATGTTTAGAGCATTCCCTGGTAAGGTATGGAAAAACTAGGAAGGGGAATCAAATAATATGAAATTGGCGCGCGTGCGTAATAATCACAATAATAGATTTGCCGGTGTTGTTCTATAATGAATGCAAATATAATGATAGGCTGCGGTCCTTAGCTTTTATAATACATGTAAACTAGGTTGAAAAATAAAACTTTGTGAATGACCTGGTAAGATAAAATTGGCGGGAAATTTATCTCTGAAATCTAAGGACACGATAAATTGTATCAATTGTAGTTAGTTGAATCTCTTAATTTTAAATTTTACGTTGTTTTCTGTAAACTCTTTTGAAGGGTTTCGTTTTATAATAAACCTTTTACAATATATTACTTGCGATTAAAAAAAATAAATTTCAAAGTGTAGATTATGATATAAAATTACCTCTATATAAGTTAATTATAAAATTAATTTTTATAATTTACCAATTATCCTAAATATTTTTTGTAATATATCACTTATTCTGCTATAAATCATAAGATGGATGACGTGATATGCCAATTAGAACTTGTTGTAAGTAGAACATCCTTATTATATTTTATGAGTTTCTTATATAAATTTTATTATGTAAATAATTAATATAATAAAATTATTATTATTTATAATTATTTCATAAATTAATGTTTTAGGTGTCAAATATGGAAAAAAGAATTGATACTCTTAGTTGGAAAATAAAAAAATTTGAGAGTGTATGTTTTTCAGAAAAAGAAAGTACACATACGGTATAGATATTTCTTCTAATTAAATACTTCATTTTAAGATAAAAATGACATGTTATTATATAATTTTAATATTGTGTTATGTATAATAAGATTAATTTTTTTTTAATCTATTTAAGCAATTCAAAATCAAAATAACTGTTTAATGGTGAAATTTTGATTATCATATTTCAATTTGTAATTTTGTATTACTTGTAATATTTATATTAAAAATGAATGTATCTTGTAGTATTGAGTATAGTATAGTTGGGTTGGGTTTAGTTTTACAGAAAATCTTAGACGGGCCTTGTATATTTTTGGGCAAGAAGTATAGAATATAAAACTATTAAGTAATCATTTGGTGTTATTAATTTCAAAATGAAAGTGTAAAGAGTGTCATTCCTTTTTTAATTTGAAAGGGACTTTGTTTTTAAAAAAATCTAAATTTATCGAATATGAAATACTTTTTCCTCTGCACTAGTATAATTAAGTGCAATTTGTTACTAAACAATTACATTTTATCAACTATGTCTATAATAAAAATAATACACTGTAGTGTTTTCTTAATGTTAATAAAAATAGAAAAATTCTTGAATTTCAAATTCTTTACATTGTTTAAATATTTTATTTTATTTATAGTGTAAAATAATGTCATTGATGAATAAAGTTGCTAGGACATGTCAGACATATGATGAAATTTTACTTTTAGTAGGACAGCACAGAAATGAACAAAATGAATTTACCGATTCATTACAAGTACAAGTAAATTTAGTCAAGAGTAAAATGGAAACATTAATGGCTTTAACTACTAAAGGAAGATCAATAGAGTTATGACTTTATTTTCATCATATACAGTAAATATATTTTTTTACAAGTTGAATATATAATAAAATATCTTTATTTTTATATTTTTTAAACAATTTTTAATAATTTATATTTTAAATAAAAACTTACATTTTTACTAAGAATATTTTAAAATAGTAGAATGTGTTATTATTTCTTAACATGAATTTATACAAACATTTAATATATAAGGTATACATATAATGCTTAAAAAAAAACTAATAAAACAATGACAAAAAAAAAAATGTTTTAATGTTTATATAATATTTTGGTCTTCAACAACTTTATGAATAATTTTGTATTATGAAAAAATTTCACTTATTCACGATAAATGAAGAAAATTATTAAAAGAAATTACAAAATTTTGTTGTTTTTTTACTTATATTTTCAATATTATTTTTCTATACATTTTTCAAAACTGTATATGTTAAATTATATAGATTTATTTAAAAATGAAAATCAACACAATTTTTTTTTTTTGAAACTTCAGATATTTAACTTTTGTTACATATATTTATTTTAAATATCTGACTCTTTACCTGCCCACAGTGGTATTCAAAATAACAACTTTAGCACGAAAAGTTAACCTTTTCAACTTAACTTTTAAAAATGTTCCGCAATATAATACAAACTTTAAGCTATAGTAAATTAAAGTTTATGTTAAATACTGTAAGTTGAAAAAACATCCCAATGATTGATCTTCTATATATAAACGGCCACCGAAGTTAGACCAAAAATATTTTGGTGTAAAAAAAATCGTCCCTTTTCGTATTGTTTTAGTTTTTTATTTCTATTATGCCTATATTGTAGGTGAATTAGTATAGTAATTAAGAATTTTGGTAATTACTCTCTTTTCAAAAAAAAGTAAAAACTATGAAGTATTGGTTATAAATATTTTCATTAATTGTATCTAAACATTATGTTAAATTGGAATATTAAGTGATTTTATTATTAGAGTTATTATAACTGAAGCTTTAAATCAATAAAAAAATAATATTTGCAGCTTTTAATGTTAATTGAATCAGTATATTGAAAGTAAGGAGGCTTCACTTACCAAAATAAAAATTCTAGCTACCAATGGTTTATGATGACTTACAATTTTATTTTCATAACTAAAATAATAATTAATTATTGAATTATTTTTTGTTATTATGGATATTTTAGTTTTTAGAAATTTCAAAATAGTTATTAGCTCTGATGCAAAGCTGAGAAGGTATTTTACTATGATATATTTTTATTTTTTGTGCCTGTTACCACTTTTTCTCAGCTCTCACTGGACAGATTTCTTTCAACGATATGTCAATAAATCACAAATTGTATCTAGTTAAAGACATTACGCTAAAGAATTGAAAAAAATTCCCTCCTTCTCTGTAAATAGGAGAATTAAAATTTTTTTTTTTTATAAGGAAACCCTTTACTATTTCCTTTTTATTTCATATAATTTTTTTGAAAATCTGACACTTAACCTGCCCACAGGGGGATTCAAAATGACAACTTTTTCACAAAAAATTAACTTTCTCAACTTAAATTTTAAATGTGTTCCTGCAATACTGGCACTTGTATATACAGGGTGGCCCACCACTCACTGACAACTTAAATAACTTTTGATCCAGTTAATATTTTTAGTTGATTTTTTTTTTAAATAATAGTTATACGTTAGGTCTATAGTCCATTTATCCATCTATTAGGTCAATANGTGGCCCACCACTCACTGACAACTTAAATAACTTTTGATCCAGTTAATATTTTTAGTTGATTTTTTTTTTAAATAATAGTTATACGTTAGGTCTATAGCTATATCTCAATAATTAATTTTTTTACATTTTATTAAAAATATTAATTATTTTTAAATTTTAAATAAAATGTAAAAAAAAAATCTAAGATAGCTATTTTGTAGAGTAGAATTTAAGAAAAATTTTAATAAAAAAATATCTTATTTATATTCAGTAGTAAATATTCTGTAGCGTTTTAAAGTTTGTGAAAATTTGAATTTTCATGTATTATTTTACGTTATTAAACATTGAAATACGTATTGAGAAAAGGACAGAAGAAAACGCTATCTTTTCATGATTACTTTTTGGAGGTGTGTAACTTTTTCCATGAAAATGACTTATACTTTTGAATGAGAGTGATAAGTAATAATTGCCTTATCTAATTTCTTATCATGGTATTAATGCCAAGTTTGTAATGTATACACATTATCATCATATGTATACACAGTAATCATGAAGAGATAGCGTTTTCTTCTGTCCTTTTCTCAATACATATTTCAATGTTTAATACCGTAAAATTAAATAATTAATATTTCATTATGGTTAAATGAAATAGAAGGTTTTTAAATAAATATAATTATATCAATGTATTTTTAACTTTGTTTAACAGATGCGTATAATAGATTAAATTTCATAAATAATATTCATTAATTGTTCCAAAAGATTTGGAATGAATTGAACTTTGTAAAAAATTTAATAAATGATTAATAAAATTGAACATTATACATAAGCTAGTTAACCATAACATGTTAAATGTTAAATTGCCTACTGATTGTAACTATAATTTATTTTTATTTTTTAATAAACTAGTTATCTGCTTTGACTTAATTTCATAATAAGTCGGTCCAACTCTTGTTACTATATTGCAATTGAAAACTTTATTTGAAAGTTTCCATAAGATTTTCTTTGGAATACGTGAAAGTTTCAAATCTGAAAAAAATAAGATTAAATGTATTATTATTTAAGTATCGGTTTAAATGTTGAAACAAACAACCTAATGTTGTCATGATAAACAGTTACCTCTGAGAACGCATTTTACTGCCAAAGGTGTGTGTTGAATAAAAAATGGTCGTATTTTACGTATATTGCTAGCATTTACCATAATGAACTCGCCCCAGTCAAGCAATGATATAAAAAATGTTGTTTTATCACCATCATCATTAATGGCTTTACAAACCCCTCTATACCATTTACCGTCGTCTAAAATTAAATTTAAAAAATAATTACCAAACATTATCGATAAATTTTATTTTACACTCGATTTTTTAATAGAGCTATTATTCATTTATCAAATCTTTCATAGCTACAATTACTTATACATTAATTTTAGAAATTATATTTGATTAAATAATTTAATAGTTTATTACTGTATTTAATAACGCATAGTTCATCCAATTGTGGAGTGTAAGTTTTTTCCTTACAGTAACTGTAAAAAGCATTAATACGTCTTTCGAGTGACCTAATAACTTTTTCTTCGTTCACTTTCGCCAAAAAGAGATAATCTTTAACAGTATAAAGCACTCTTAGAGGATAGTCGTAGTTTTCAGTCAAGTGAAACTTGGGCATATCTTTCATCATTAATCGTCTTTCATCTTCTCCAACCTGACTTAACTGATGTTGTATCATTGTACCATTGTCCTGATAGTCAAAAATAGATAATAGTCATATTTAATAGATTATATTAATATAAACAAAAACGTATGTGTTGAAATCAATTTAACAATAAAATATTTTGGAGAAGTTGTAAACAAAAATTGGTATTCACATTTTGAGTAGGCACAAGTGAAGTACTTTGACCATTTGATTCAGTCAATAGTAAATTATTGGTACTAAAACTGTCAAAAACTTCATTTGTTGACGCTAAGGCATTTTGTTGCTCAACCTTAGAAAATAAAATTATTTTTAACATCAAAAATAGACACTCATAATAAGTTATAAATGAAAATTAGGTATTTACATTTTCGGTGGACACAAATGGTGTATTTTGACAATTTGATTCAGTTAATGGTAAATCATTGGCATCAGAAGTATCAACATCATTTGTCAAAACCAAGATGTTTTGTTGCTCACCCTGAGCATAAAATACAATTTTACTTTTAACATCAAAAACAGACACTACTAAATAAGTATAAAATAAAAAATTCGCATGTAAAATCATACTTGATCACTTGTATTTTGATATCCATTGAACCCTGATAATATTTGATTTTCTGTGTCCATATAGTATTCTGTACAGGATATATTACTATCAAAATTACGATCAAGATATTTAATTAGCCTCTCTGTGTTGTCTAATGCAAAACTATTGAAAATATATTTTTTTATTACTTTATAAAAGAAGATCTAACATTGTGATGAGTTTTAAATTAATTTATTCTACTTACCTTGTTGCAATATGAATAACATTAAGAATGGATCTCAGAACTGTAAAACAAAAAATTCTTGTTTTATTTAAATACATGATTAATGAATATAACTACTTTTTAAAACTATTATTGAAAATATTAATTCATTGTTAATTATTATACTTACGACGAAGAAGCTTGATGATGATTGATTTACTAATAATCCAGAAAAATTTCCGGGTAGCTATAAAATAATATCAATAATTAGTAAATATTATCATAATGACTAATTATTTTTCACTAGTTTTGTCCAAAATAAATTGTATTGAATTTAAGTGTTATTCACTTTTAAGATCATATAATAACATAACTAATTAAATTAAGTTACTTACATGATGAACGAACTGTATGAATTATTTTCTTCATACTTTCAGTAAATCTAAAGGAACGCTAACACAATATTGTATAAAACAAAATATTATCACTAGTTTTTGGTATAATATATTTTTTAAGTTGAAAGTATTGTTAAATCACAATGTTAATTTAAAGATTAATCTTTTACAAATAAACAGTAACTTTTAGTATGAGTAGCTATTAACGACGGTCGAATTAAATTATTTGAACCAAACAATATTTAAACTAATATAGTAAAATTAAAACTATATTAAAAATATTATTAATTTAAAAAACTAAAAAATATTAAACTCAAATGAAATTAATTTTTCATTAATTTTTTTGTGGCTTTGAGTTTAATATTTTTTAGTTTTTTAAATTAATAATATTTTTAATATAGTTTTAATTTTACTTAATTAATTAGCCACAAGTGATCAATTTTTATTATATAAACTAATATAGATTTAAATTATAAAAAACTTTATTGTGCTTTTTACTTAATATATATTGTCTTCTTTAGTTATTCTTTTAAGTTACACAAAATAAAACACGTAATACGGTTAAACTTCTTTTCAACTGAAACGCTGCGAAACATTTTTCTGAAGGAAGTTTCTGTCAAATAAAGGGCTTCTTGAAAGGATATTTTACTGTAACAATTTTTTACTACGCTCTCCATCATGGCTCTGCCATTATTAGAGCTCCTTATTTCTTCACGTGTACACGCTTTCACGTATTCACGTGAAATAAAAGTTCGATTTATAAGACCCGTTGCTTAAAATTTTCCGTGAATTTATGATATTAATCACGTGTATCCATAAATTGTTGTATTCACGTGTATCTGTGAATTATTCTATTCACGTATAACCGTAAATTTGTGTTAAGCCTTAACTTAGTTGTCTATTTATTTCCTAGGAAGAAAATAATTTTATTTATATAATTTTACTTAAGTTAATTAAAAAACTAATTATGCTCAATAATCAATAATAATAATTAATGTTTTATTCAGAAAAACCTAACCTATAGAGTGACATAAGATAATTTTGTATAAATAAACAATAATATTATAAAAAATTATAATAAATAAACAAAATATATCAACACCTAAATAACTTTACTAACATAAAATATTATTAAACTAATAATTTTCTATTTTGGTACAAAAATGTCAGCATATTTACATTTTTTGCTAACAAACAAGTCGTTTTTGAGGTTACTATATTTCCAGGAGTAGAAAAGCATCTCTCAGAGCTTACTGATGTGACAGGAATAGCGAGATATTCCTTGGCTAATGCTGCAAGATTTGAGTATTTGATTTCCCTTGATTTCCACCACTCATATGGATTTAAATCAAAACGTAATTGAGGTTCCGCTGTATAAATTTGAAACTGAGTCGTTAATTTATCGTTTTTAATTATTGTATTTCCATATAAAAACTGAAGATCGCTGCTTTGAGCTAGTGGATTTTGTTCCATATTGAATTCAATGTTTTGCATGCTACTGTTAAATTTTTCTAGCAAACTCTTTACAGCCTTACGAATTTTTTCTCTCGTAGCAATTGGTTCAAACTCTAATTCTTTATAACGAGGATCTAGAAAAGATGCAATTTGTCGGACAGAGATAGAATTCGTTTCACTACAGTCAAGTTTGAATCGTTCTTTAATTTCAAATATTATTGTAGATTTAAATTCAGTGGTATATTGATCATTAGTTTCATAATGCTTTAAATGGTGATCCAATAATTTTGATAGTAATGGTCTAACCATTGACACTGGAAAATAGTTCTTGGAGCAAAATAAATTTGTAATAACAAATAATGGTTTGAGGAGACTTACAAGGTTTTCTATTCTTAACCATTGAGAATCAATTATTTCTAATTTTTGTGCAATGAATAAAGATGTGATTGCTCTGTCTGCCAAAACATTTGAAATTGGACTCCTGTTTTTTGAAAGACATTTAAACATTAAATATATTGAGTTCCAACGTGTCTTACTACATTGCACTAATGATTGGTGCGGAAGTCTTAACTGTTTTTGTTTGTTTAGTAATGACTGTTTAGCTACATTCGAGTGTTTAAAATGTCCAACTAAATTAGTACATTGTTTTATTAATTCCGAAAATATTTCTTGTTTTAATGCAATATTAATAGCTAATTGCAAACTATGAGCTGCACATGTCACATCCATGTTTTCATTGCCTATTGTAATAGGTAATAACTGTACAGCATTTACTATGTTTTTTGCGTTATCCGTAATTACAATAGTTACTTTACCATTAATTTTCCAATCGTCAAATATACATATTAATTTTTCCGCAAGATTTACTGCTGTATGACGTTCAGTCATCTCTTGTGTAGCTAAAGTAAATGACTTTGGTAGCCACTGGTTATCAATTATGTGAGCTGTTAAAGACATATATGAGTTTTGAGCCATTGAAGACCAACCATCAGTGGTGCAAACTACTCTTTTCACATTTTGCAATTCATTTTTTATTTTGTCCTCAGCTACAATGCATGTAGTATTTTTTTCATTGCTTGATCACTAAATATTTTATAATTGGGCTCCACAACAGCCATGAACTTAAAAAACCCAGGACTCGAGCAAAATGATAAAGGCAACTGATTCATTACAATTAATGAAGCTAGTGCTCGGTGAATTTTTTCCGTTTTTTCATAATTACATTCACGATTACTATAGACCCACAATTTTTAGAAATACGACGCTTTCTAGATTTTGAACTCGAGGAAGATTTAGTATTGTTTTTAACAAGAATTGTATCATCATCTTGATTTATGGAACTTCCAGAACTGCCTGACCTTATAATTTCTTCGTAAACATTTGATGTATGTTTAGATCCCAAACTAGACCTACAAAGTACAAATTGTACAACTTTAACGTTATAAAATTAAAATGTATGTTATTTGTTTGTAAAATTTTTAAAATAAAATTGACAACTTTATTTTTATAACATCTACGTTCTTATATGACACAATTATAATTACGTAAATAAATTATATTTTTTTATTCGGGTTATTAAAATCAAATAATTGTTAGATCACTTAAGTATCCAGACGACATTGTAATGAAATTGTAAATTTTATTTTAAATACTTTAAAATAACTAATACATATCATACACGTTTAATTATATAATAGAATAAAAACATAATTTATTATTACCTCTTTTCTGTGGATTCTTTTGGTGGTTTAACTTGATGTATATTTTGCAAATGTCTCATTATAGAACCAGTAGTTCCACCGACACAGGAGTATTCGTTTTGATTGTCATCACATAAATCACAAAAGGCGCAATCTCCTTCTCGCTTAGCATAGTCCCACACCCAACTTTTCTTACTCATTTTTTAGTAAAACTTGTTCACTTAATGTGATTACATAGAAACCTAAAGATTGACTGTTAAACCAACTTAAATTATGGGTTCAAATTCTACACATAATATTTAATCTTTTATAATAAAAACTGTGGTATAAGATGACAACAGAAAAAGAAATGTACATGTAGTCCTCAACAATATACATTTTCAGTGGATATCAATTAAAATTATTCACGTGATTATGACTCTGATACGTGTTCACGTATTTTAGCTTTTACTAATTCACGTATATTAATCATACGTGTTTTATTTTGTTATACTCTCGTATTCACGATACTCGTATACACGTATGATTGTATTCACGTAAAAACATTAGAGCTCTAATATATATATATATATATATATATTAGAGCTCTAATATATATATATATATATATATATATTGCTTGTTAATAAATTTTATTGTATATGAAATATTATTTGTTTGATAAAAAAAAAAAGGGCTTGTAAGAATTAATAACTGTTCATCCATGTTATCTTAAATTATTATTATTATTCATAATCTTTCCACATAGGATAAGGTACAAAATCCCTGGTGCTCCGGTTCTGCCTCGGCCCAGGGTAGACCCTCCTTGGGGTCCTTGTAAGTTAAGCTTAAAACATGTAATAAAGTTAATATTTTGTTTTGCCCCTTCAATTTTAGAATATTATTGTTGGAAGTTTAAAAAAAAATATTGTTTTCAAATATGTAACTAAAGAATGTAATCTTAAGGTAATTACACTAAATTAATGAAAATAAAACTCTTAACAAGTATCATGTATTAAAATAACACATTTTAACTCTCAAAATTAAAGAATAATTGAATATTTTAGTACGAAATTTAACAAAATGTTCATGTATAAAAGTAAGATATTGTATAAAACCGTCATCAATAAGATATTTACTTAGACAAAGTTGTCTAAATATACTTCAAATAAAAATATAAAAAGAATGTGAAATAAATAAAATGATTTGAGCATGAAAATAATAAATTCGAAAAACAATATTAAAGTGTTTTCGTTGAAAACAAGAAAAATATCAATATTATAAAATTTTGTAATATCCAGTAATAGATCATATTCGTATAAATGCTATTTAGTAGTGTTGATTATAAAATTAATTTTCAAATTACATTTGGTAGTTTTTTAGCCAGTAATTTGACTACATGAAATAATAACGACCAATATATACAATTATTGTTATGAAAATATGTTAATAAGAAGTTACAACGTATGTTATTATTTTTTACTCATTATCACGTCTTCTTACTGTTTCTTTCAACCCTTTTTATAATTACCTTTATTCTCTCGTTTTAACTATAATATCAATTATCATCGAAGTACAATCCCAGAATAAATTATTTATTTTAAACTGGATTCTTAGCCATCACGGTATCCTTAGGTTTGAAACAGCCAATTGTTTAGCTAAACTCTATTTCCCATTTACTAACCCCTTGTTTAACTCCTAACGCTTAGCAGTATCGCCAATAAAATTAAAGACTACTTGTGGATATCACATAACTTTATCATCATGCTTCCACAACCTCAACCTAACTAGAACTTTTATTTTCAATTTTTTCTAAGAATTAGGCACGACTATCTTCTCTCTCGTTCATTATTAATTTGGTTTTCCCTAAATTCCGCCTCCTATTGTTCTTTAAAATTAT